GTGTGTGTCACAAATGATTAAGTGCACTCTATAGTCATGTATTTACTGAGTGAATGTGCACACAGGAAACAGCTTGTGTTTGCTTTTGATTTAGATTGAGATGCATACATTACATTGTACTAAAGAATGCACATACATACTGTGTACTTCATGTGCACACGAGTTTATTCCTGTGAAACTTCTGTTTTGGAGGTTTCATATCATAGTTGTATAATCGTACAAGTGTGTGCGTTAGAGTATGTATTTGTGTTCATGTAAGTCAGTGTGCGCATTATGGTCCCAGAGGTGTCTATATACTGCACCTTTCTAGTTTTCAACGAGGGATTATCATCTAGCCTTAAGGACATCTCTCAGATTTGACTGACTATGCACTCAGGTGCTACTGTCATAACGCTGCATGCTATTATTGTACTGCTCTGTGATCAAGCTATCATATGATGTGATTTGATGCCTCCGTTTATCTATTGCATTAGATTTATGTGGCTTCTTAAATGTTGTCTATCGTGTGTTGCTTTGAGTTGACTTGTTATAATCATGTTACTTACAACACAATAAGAAATTCTATTTAAATTGAGATTCCTTTTTTCTTGTATTAATCAAATATTTTTTTTTAGTTTTCAAAACAGGCAGTTGAGCATTGGGCTTTACATTCTTTATTTTGTAGCACAGTCATGGACGTCATATGGGTGACAAGGCTGTGGTGCATGAATAACAGGGAGTCTAACAAAGTTGAAAAACCTATATCGAGAAGATCTAAACTGATTTACTTCTGCTGTCCTGAATTCTTGGCTGTGACAGCAAACAATTATAGATAGCTGTGATTGTGAAATCCTGTATTCAGTAAACCTTGTAAAATACAACCAAAAAATAATTGGATTTGGGTTATTTTAGTAAACTACAAAAAACTGTCAAAGACGCTTGATAGGTTCAGTGGCTCTGCTATATGTTTGCTTCATGGAGTCATGCCACTGTATGTCATCTGAATTTAAGCAGATTACACCAATATTACAACATTCTGACTGATAACGAGCGCTACAAACTTCTGACGACTGCTATCTATCAAGCCTAAAAAAATTAGATTCATGCTCATGACCGATTTATGACTTTTTAGAAATATGACCCAGCTCTGGTATTGAGTGTGATTAAAGAGATAGGTTTGCAACATTCATGTCATGCTGTAAACAGGCTCAGGGTGCAGTGAAAGTGACACCTGTAACAGCTTGCCTTGTGACTTTGTGAATGACGCAGCAGTTCTCAAAATGACCAGTGACCTTGTTTAGCCATGTCATCCTTCTCAGTCCTGTCTCATTCCCTTGCCCTTTCCCTCTGCCTTAGACATATCAGCATCATCAGCTTAGTCCCTGGATGCGATTATGATTATGACATGGCAATATTAAATATTAGTGTGCAAAAGCAGTGCTGCGCTGGAAGAAAACATCCTTTTAGATCTCTAACCATTTGATGAGAAATACTCTTGCTTCCCCTTAATCTCTCTTTTTATCATATTTGTTCATCTCTTCTTTTGTCCATGCTGTATTTCCCCAGTTCTCTCTTCTTTCTCACCTGGCTTGGAAAACTCGTCCAAAGGCTCCTTCCCCGATATCTCGGACGTATTGAATATTATTTCGGGGATACTCAAGGGCCAACAGTTTTGAGTTCAGCAGCAGAGGAACGCGCTGGTACATGGGGTTAGGGTGGAGTCGATCGAGCAATAGCTCTGATGGAAGGGCGTTCAACATCGGGGTCTCTATTACTCTTCTAATAAAAATAAATAAATATAAGCGTGAGCATTACAAGGATAAAAACAGACACTAGATAAAGAAACATATTCCATCTTTATCATCTTTCTTTTACCTCTTCCGATTCCTCAGTTGCTTCTTCCATCTGCGGCAGCCAAGAATGATAATGGCAAGAAATACTGCAGTTGCAAGAGCAGTCAGGATAACGACGATGACAGACATTGAGTAAGCTGGAGATGACGTTGTGGTCACGGGAGGGAAACGAGGGGTCTGGAGAGGGTCTCTAGACTCTGGCTTCACTACTTAAAAGCACAGATATAGGAAAAGTCACTAAACTTGGAAAAATGACAAATCTAGAACTCTGTTGTCTAAAATCCAGATTGTGCAGTCAAAGTTTTGGCTACTGGGTAGCTTTTAGTCTACTGTAGGTGAAGTGTTGGTTTCAAGTGTAAAGAAAACAGGAACTGTAAACAGGTGAAGTGGGGAAAAAAGTTCTGAATGCAGAGGGCAGTACCTGATGCTATGCTTGTTTCCCCACACTGTGGAACAGCACAGTACTCCCAGCGTATGTTCGGATTTAAGGTATAACACCAGGGCTTGTCACTGATTCCTCCTGGGTTCCTGCAGTGATTGCCTGAATTCTTCAACTCTGGAATGACATCCACTGACAAATGGTGCTGGTGGGGAACCTGCAGGATAAAGCACAGTAGTAAGGATCAAAAAAAGAGAAACACTTTCTCAGGCCTTTCCCACTAAGAGGAATAAAATAGAAAAAGAAAAATCACCAACATACATACTGCAACAAGGACGGTTAAGTATATTAATTGGTGAATAAACGTGGTTTGCAACCTGTGAGTACAGGGCTGGAGTCTGTGTAATGCATGATCTCTTTTCTGTTCTGCTGCTGACCCTGTATTCCGAGGGGGTAAAGAGGAAATCTACCTTTGCTGAGGGATCAGTTCTAGTGAGTTTTCTGTGAAAGAAAGAATTGATTTGGATGGATAGTTTTTAAAACTGGTGAGTCTCAAATCAAAAGTGAAGCTAAGATGACCTTCCAAATATTTCTTCCAGGTTCTGTTCTGTGTAGTAAGGTTACAGCTCCATAACCATGGGCTATTGTGAGGGACATTAGGGGTTGCATGACTGTTCCTGGAATCTAGACTGCCAACTTAAATATGGAACATCTGGTGGGCTTGTATGTCATGAGCTTTAATCATAAAAAGAGCAATGGCCAACTCTATCCCAAGAGACATGAAGACATGAACTGAAAATGTTGGGTTCAACACATGTTGCTGTAGCTGAACGTGTGAAGTCAACAGCATGGGGTTGATTCCTAACTGGTGCCAGGAATGCTTAAAACAACAGGTCTTCGCACTAGAATGACAAGTTAGGCCATTTGTCATTGCCTTTCAAGATAATACACTGACATTTGGCAGGAAATGGGATGCAAGCCTCCATTGTCAAAGTGTAACACTTCATACAACCAACCATCCTCCCCAATCTTCTTCCTGCAGGCATTTTGCATTTTGCAACACTATTCTGCAACACTCTAGATCCATAGAGAGAGAGGATTTCTAGCAGAAAAGGGGGTTTTGGAGCATAAACAAATGATCTCTGCTGGTAAGTAATCCCCAGCAGTGGATCAAGTTGCATTTCCTGCAGAGAACTCGACCCTTTTTAATGTTTAATTAGTGGCCACTGTGTTATTATTTTATGGATGATTCTTACGCCGAGTCATATATATACCATGAGAATGACAGTGTTGTATAGTATGTTTAGTTCATTAGCAATGTTTTCCCCTGCAATAAAGTTGTGAATCATCGTCTGCAGTATTTCTATGACTCAGCACAAAATGGCACCGAAGTTACTCCATTCATGTATCATGTACATTTACAGTTTACATGTTTGTGCTGAACGGAAATGTGATTTTTATGAGACAGAAGTCATTCTAAGCAGAATAGCATATGTTGTGGAGCATTACAGTGTTCTGCTCATTTCCTATAAAACTCAAAGAGCTGATTAGGGATCATTTGTATTATGAAAATATTTATGTAAAGCATATGCTCTCTGATGTGTGGAAGATAGAAGACAAAGCAAAGGGGTGGGGCTAAAGACTAAAGCCCCAATTTTGGGGGCAATGAAAGCTACTGATTAAAAAAATAATTCACAACATTTTTTTTATTTATTTTTTTTATTTTGAAGGATGGACTTTGGCATATGTACCTCAGTGGTTTGGTCAGTTGCCTACCATTCTTACTTTCCAATCTTTAAACAAAGGATGTGTCAGACCATACATACTGTTGTAACCAGACTATATTTTTTTATTAACTCCTTACTCTGCGTCTTGTACTTCAGTGTGGCTGTCATTTTGTTATGGGACAGCTACTTTGCCCTATAATGTATCACACTTTGGGTGTGACTCTTAGTTTAACACCCTCTGATTTCACTCTGATGTTTATATTTAACACAAATCTTGTCTGATTTTCTATAATAAAATGACAATGAGATGCAAGTAAATTTATGAACTTGTAAAGTACACATCCCCAAGCACCGAGGTCTATCTGAAAACATCTACTGAAAAAAAATGGTTGTTGAGTTCAAAATTGTGCAATCACATTAACATTGCCTTGGGAGAATTGTTACAAGAGACATTACCCCAATAATGGTGGTATATGCTGCTTACAAGGAGGAAATGAAAGCTTTGGTGCTGGCCAGGAACTTCAGCTTAATCATCAAAATGATTCCATCATGTTTAACAGCTCACCTTCTGACTTATGTTCAGCCAGGACATTATATCAGAAAGTAACAGTCTTTTCCTGGAAGCAGCATGGACTAAAGCCTAACTTCCTGATGTCACTCTGTCTTCTTTATAGCTTCAATCCTATTGTCCTAGTGCAGACAACACACAGCACTGGTTTGCTAAGCCCTGCTCCCTTTAGTGCTTCTGCACTTACCACTTACCAAGCCCTCTCTTTTCCAGTAACACTTACGAAGTTTATGATGTCAATTCAGACCTGCCTCTCAAATGTATGAGTAATTTGATGAGTCTGTGGTCACAATTCAAGATTATGGTATTAAAAAACACACTCGGAAAATCCAGGCTTCTTCATTTGTACAATATCATGTCTAAACAAAAAATTACACTAGTCCAATCTGTTGTAAATGGCTATGTAAAGGAGCTAACATTTTCCCTAATGTCTTAAAGATAAGACTTTAAAAAATCTTCTGGAATGAATCTAGAATTTAAACAAGACTATCTTAGAAAAGGAAAAATAAGGCTGGATAAGCATATATGTGGAATAGACTATTGTTCTTATCATAGTGCCATGCATAGAGCTTAGATGATTAGAACATTCTAATTGAAAGGACGGTGTGCATTGTTATTGTCACTATGCTATAACAGTGCAAAGTGAGCTAATTTTAATTCAAATTAGCAGATAGGATGCAAACTAAAGGGTATTTGTAAAGTCTTACAGTTCAAATAAAAAAAATAAAACAGTCAATGCCACCTTTTTACTTTCAGTATTCAACATTCAATTCCACGGGATTGTCTGCATTTTCCCCCCACAAATGATCACCCTTCATACAGTGCAGGTAATCTTATTATTCCTACATAACTCTCACCAAGCTCAGGCGTGATGCGGCGATTCTGTTTATGACATACATTGAAATTTACCACGAAAGAAGATGAGCTCATATTACAAGTTGACACTTGTTTGTTGAATGTTTTATGAAATGAGCCCTTTACCACAATACAATTCTGGAGAAGGATTTTTTTTCTTTTTTTGGTAATTTTTCCAGTGCCTGCCTTTAATTAAAATACATTTCAATTTTGCAGAGAAAGAGTGTTAACATTCTGAAGCTAAAATAACTGCACATTTAGTGGTATAGTGGTACTAGTCTTGACTTTCCCATAAATACATGTAATATACAGTGACTATATTTCTGCACAAACCAATCCATGCACACAGACACACAAGCATCTCTGGCCAATGTCATCCAGTATCGAGAACAGTAAACATGTCACTGGTTTTAAGAGTGAAGATGGTTGAACTGAATATAATTCTTGTAGAATACAAAACCGAACCTATGTGTTTATGTTTACTTGTTTACATCAGACACGGTTAAATGTGGTATTCATATGTTTTCTTCATGTGGTCTTATGCACACATAGTTTGGGGTGTTTACGAAGAATAAAACAACAACAGTTCAGTAGTAAACATAAGTGTAAGTACTAACATTTGAGAACTGCATTAGAAAGCAAGCTTTTTCGCAGTTAGCAGATAGTAGAGTATATGTGCGTGAGCAAATCCAATATGCTGAAGTGGGAGTGGGTGTGTGTGTGCGTGTGTTTTAGTGACAGAGCATGTGGAACATATGCGTGTGAGAGCTAATTGCTTCCAGAGGCAGGATGTGACATAATGAGTCCCTCCCTCTCTGCTGACCTGGCACACACACACACACACACACACACACACACACACTGCACGGGAGAGTAGTAACAGTTCACCCAAACAGACCCTCTCACTGAGCAAAGCCATAAAAACATAAAGGGGCTTTTGGGCTACAGGAAGAGTGCGTGCGTGCGTGTGTGGGTGGGTGTGTGTGTGTGTGTGATTAACACATTTGTGTGACGCTGTATTTGCTGTTGTTTGCACATGTAAGCATTTTTGTATGCTTTTCTGCTTCTGAGTAAGGGAAAGGAATGTTTTAATATAAAACTGAACATACATAAAACCTAAAACACACACACACTCAAAATATCAGTGAAGCATCTTTTCTTGGTTAAAATCAGCTGAAAACACTCAAGTGTGTCCTGTTTTTTGATTACATGTGGTTATTTCATACTTTTGCTGGTTTTATACTTTAGTTATAAAATATCTAAGTAGTTTTGTAGCTCTAGGAACGTTTACGCAAATGTACCCAAAGACAACAATACCTGTTGGTTCCATGGTTGACATGGTGTCCCAGACCTGGTTACATTCACACTACCCTGGTAGAAATAACCTCGGTCATTGTAACATGTTCCTGTTGATGTCAAACAGAACAGTTTACCGTAAGATAACAATGTTAACTGTAGCAATTACTTTTTAAAATAATAGAGTAATTCATTTTTGCATTGGACTAATTATGGCAGCTAGAAACAAATTCATTGTGATGTACTGAAAAAATGTTGTACTTACTTGTAATTAGATCTTTCTTGATGTCTGAATGTAGAAAAGATTAAGAAAAATGAATCTAAATATTGAGAAGAAGAGGAACTATGAAGTAGGGCTGCCACAAACGATCATTTTGATAGTCGACTAGTCACCGATTATTTTTGCGATTAGTCAACTAATCAGATCATGCATCCATTGGACGTAAAACGTACAGCTTATTGCACCAGCAGCAATCTGCTCTTAATATAACTATCATTAGCTTACAGCTTTAAGTGTTTAAGGTATGTGCTGACTAAAAATAAAGACAAGATGATAGTTTATTAAATTTTAATGAAATCTGCAGATTGTTTCGGTGAAGTTTAATAAACTCCTTGCTATCTAAAATATAACAGGACACCGGAGTATATTCTCAAGCATCTCACACTTCTGATAATCAGTTGTCTGCTCAGCTGTGTAAAAACTATAACTTTAATCTCAGCCAAACCGATTTACTCAGGAACAAATAAAATACAAAAAAAAAGCCAAACAATAACATGTTTAAGTTATCTAAGTGACTTATATATATTTAACCTGAGTAGCGAAAGATGGCGGTGGGTTTAAAAACGTTTTGCCGGGAGTCCGGTGTTCTCACCAGCTCTAGTGAGCCTCGACCCCCGGCTAGCTATCGAGCTAGTGGGTAACAGACGTCTCCAAAAACGTCAGAGTGCTTTTGAAAATATGTGGTTTCTTGATAAACCAAGCAGATATTTGAGGTTTACACAGCTACATTCTCGCCTGGAAATATGTTAAACGTTTATTTTCAGCTGGCATCCTTGTACATGCAGTGCTGCCATTTTCTGTTTCAGTCCGTTATTACACTCTTAAATCCTACTACTTATTCCTGCGTCTTTTGGGATCTTACAAAGCTTCAAACGACGCGTCGACTATTAAATCAGTCGTCGACGATTTTGATAGTCGATGTAATAGTGACTAGTCGACTAATTGTGGCAGCCCTTCTATGAAGTCATTTGAACCAGAAGATCAGTACTGATTCACTGAAACACACAAACACAGAGATACACACACCTGCAGCTATATATTTTGGCTCAATTCAGACAAACCCTCTTAATGACCTCATCAGTATCAATGACCTGCAGTGTAGCAGACCATGCTTTATTTGGCCCTTAGCACACACAGCTGTACCCAGCCAACTTTCTTTTACATAATGCTTCACTTACTTTTCATAGCTACTTTTTTTTTGTTTAATGAAAGCAGAAGTCAATGTTCTTTTTAAAAAACAAAAACAAAAAAATCTTTAATTTAACAGACTTGTGCAAGAGAACACAAGGTCAGTTTGCTCTTAAATACGTTAGTCTTTGCCCAACTTATTTTACAACTACCAAACTAACAATTTTTACAACTAAAGTGGTTCAACAAACTAATTAAACTTCACTTCAGGTTGTCTTACCTGCAAAAGGAACATATGTACAACCATCAGGGTCTGTGTAAAGACTTGGTAAGGTCTGACATTTTGGCAGCAGTGAAACGGGAGCCTGGGACCCGGTGAGAGAGCTGAAGAGTCCAGACTGGACTGAACTGCTGCCTTCTAATATCAGCCACGCCTTATGGCAGTACAGCTCCTTCACTGCCAGGCAGTGTTCTCTGTTTATGAAGAAAAAGTGTATCAGATTCAGTGATGCTTTCTTTTGTTTAATAAATCTGAATGGGTCCAAATCTGTGGAGGGCCAAAAGTGCCAAACTGAAATAAATAAATACTTATACTAATAATACTAATTAATTATGCATCATTAAGTAATGAGAATTTGAAATAAGTAAACAAGCTATTAAATCCATAAATAATTATTTAGATGTAATTAAACGGTTTGTGTTCTGCAACCCATCATTAATTTATTTTCTCATTATTATTTTGAAAGGTCACAGACCAGACTGATTTTTTAAAAAGTGATTGAGAACTGTACAGCAGTATATTAAATTAAATTAAATATTACTGTTTAATCAACAGACTGTTAAGCAGCTCTTTCTTAAAACCATCATGCATGTATGTATAACTCTTACTGAAAAAAAGATGTATATCACTTGTTAATGTTAGTTTATTAATTTATTTATTTTTACTCTAGCAGGCTTTTTCAAAACTTTCAAAACAGACAGCTCATGTTCGGAATTTAGTTGATTAAATATTAAATATAGAAAAATTTATCATTTCTGGAGCTCGCTTGAGATCAGTCACCGTTATGCTAGTCCAGATCCTGGTGAAAATGCTTGTGTCCTCATATTAAAAATTTTATTTTAAATTAAAAATAAGTTGTTCCAACTCATCTGAACATCTTGAAATAAAGATGAGATAATGAGATAATGAGTATTCAAAATATACTGAAAATGAGACATTACAACTACAACTACAACCGCCTACAACTGCAAAGCTCTCCAGCGAGTAGTGCGGTGCTCTGAACGGATAATTGGAGGTGAGCTTCCCTCCCTCCAA